TCATTACATACAGATCTATGTGATACGTTATATAGTCCCAGAAGTAGGATAAAAGCCACACAAAAATCACAATACATAAAAAAATAACTTCTGGAGCTCAAGAGATGGCTCAGAGGTTAAGAGCAGTGGCTGCTCTTCCAGAGGTCCCAAGTTCAATTCCCAGCAACCACATGGTCGCTCACAACCATTTATAGTGGGATCTGGCGCCCCCTTCTGGCAAAAAGTCAGCAGAGCACTTCTATATTTAAAATGAATGAATCTTTAAGGGAGTGTTAAGAAACAAACAAAAATGCAAAGTCCCAATAACATCTTTTGTAGGACAATCCTAAAATTCATATGGAAGCACCCTGAGAGCCAAAGCGTGTCTGAGGAAGAACAAAGACTATGGAGGTGTGGAGGTATCCGTTTTCTATTTAAAACTGTTACAAAACTAAAGTAATGGAAACAGTAGCAGTACCCAGGTAAGAGCAGACATGGCTAAGAATATAGAAAAGCCCAGGAATTGGCACAAGCATATACATCCAGCTACTCAACAAGGCTAAGAAAATATAGTGGGGAAATGCCTTCCCCTAAGCAGTGTGACCTGAAGAGGCCCCTGGCTTCAGTCACGAGGAGCCAGGACCTGGGAGAAAATGGAACTGGACGTTCCCAGGTTTCAAAGGGAACAGACTAGCAGGGGAAGTCACAGCCCACTGGCTTCAGCTACAACGCCTGTAGCTACTCACTTTTCCTTCTGCAGAGAACACAGAAGCCCCCGAGCTTCTGCAGGGAACCAGAACCCTGGTGTCCATGTTCTAGGCTTCCGTCTCCATCACGATCCAAGCTACCTTCTCTGTTGCCATCGGAGACCCTCTCAGGTCCATCCACAGCTCTTTCGCCTCTCCTCCTAAGCTCTGATGGTCACCTGGCATGAACCCTGCCAGCAGCCTACTCCCCCAAATGACCAGATGTAGGAGGGGGTTGAGAAGAGTTACTCATCCTTGCTTGTCTACATCTAGCCACATCTCCCAGACCCTGCCCTCTCTTGCCACCTCCAATTGACTTCCTAGTCTATATGGGGCCAAAACCCCTCTCTGTCCATAGCCTGCTGTGTCTTGCCTACTCCAGAGCCGTTCAGATGCTACTTGTCTCTATCCTGCTTCCTGGACGGGGCTATCACAGACATCACTTCGACTCTTGCCCCTAAAACTCCCTGCACCGAGTCTGTGTGCTCTCTAAAGGGACTGTCTGATCATCTACCATACCCCATATCTCACCATCCTGCCCCCCGCTTCAGCCTCACTCTCTGTGGGCTTCTGAGGGCTCAGGTGATGGCAAGGCACCTTTCATCCAGACAGAAAAGACAGGGCAGCGGAGTCTAGCCCAAAAGAGAACCCAAAATTCCAGGTAAGCGCTGAGAAGAGGACTCCAGGCAGACAGAGGTGGGGATACTGGGTCCCACAGACATTGGAACCTAGAGGATGGCCTTAAAAAAAATAAAAAATAAAAAAAAACCCTGGGGAGGTGGGCCTCCAGAGAAAGGGCTCCTCCTCTTTCCCAAGGTGTCACTACCTCATCAAGGCTGTCATCCTCTGCCCTTTGCTGTCCTCGTCTCACCAGATGACCCCCACGTGCTCCGGGAACAGGATCACATGGGCTGCAGCAGAGTGGTAACCATTTGGGCACGCACTATGTCCTTTACACATTCAAGTTCCCAGCAGTGACTGGAAACCATCAGGACAACTCAGAGGCAGAGAATCAGTGCCACTCTGCTGGCAGGAATCCTCGGCACCTTCCCTGACTTTAGGGTCCCTGATGGAGGCATGTGTACTCAGTAAGCAAGCTGGACCCTAACCTGAATCCTGAGCCCCTGCTGCTTCAGACCCCTGGGGTCCCCCAGGAAGTGCAGGTCCAGGGTAGCTGTGACTACCCTAGGGCTGCCTGCCTGAGTGTGTTCCTTTGGGAAGGTGCCAACCCTAGAACAAGAGAAGGAACACGTCTCCCAACAGGGATGGAACTTGGCTCCAAAGTGGAGGCTCGGCAGCTGAGTAGCCAGGATGTGGGCACCAGAGAGCACCAGAGTCAGAACAGAGCAGCTGTTGGGGTTTGAGGCACCTCCTCTCCCTGCTGTCCCACCCCTACATGTGACAACACAGACTGGTCCAGAGGTCTCAATACTATGCAGGAAGCCCCTAAGGTAGAAAAAGGACAGAAGCCACAGGCTGGATTCTGAGATGCTGAGACAAGTCCTTGGGCTTGCCCCTAGAGAGGGCTGGGTTGAGGTTCCAGGAGACAACAGGTATCTGGTGGAGAAGGCCCCACCCTCTATCCGGGCATGTGCGGACCTCTCCTACTTCTGTCCTACAAGTTCCAAGTGAACCCCCACAGCTCTTACAGACCACCTGATCCAGAAAACTCACAATAGCCACAAACAGCCCAACAGCACTGGGGCCAGCAGCCCTGCTGTGGGTGAGGAGGTAGGAGGTTCTGCTGTGAACATCAGCTTTGGGTGTTACCTCCCTTCCCTGTAGGCAGCAGCAGCAGCATGGGAAACAGCCACTTTAGAATTTCCTCCCTTTTTTCTCTGTTCCCTGGCATGATAGTTCAGGCCTCCAAGTGCTCTGAGGTACAAGCCACCTGGCACCATGAGGAAGTTTACTGTTCTGCAGTGATTGCCAAAGCCTTGAGAAGATAGGGAGAGGCTACCCCTGGACAGAGCCCAGGTACAATTCCCTCCTGGGTCTCCAGCCCCACCTCTACCCTACTATCTCACCTCTTCTTCCTAGAGACAACTTTCTCAGCTAAGAGGGGCTTTTCTAGAACATATACCCAGAGCCACATGGCCCCTCCTTGCTTTAATGAGCGACCTCATCATGGACATATTGCCCCTCCCACCCCTCCCAACCTGTCACAAGTCTACAGGTTGAGGCCACAGAGCTTAGGAGAACACAGGGAGAGACGTGAATATCAGCCGCCACCACTGACCATCTTAGGGAAGACCCAAGAGCTTTCGGTTCTAGGCAGATGATGAAACCACAGGTGGATCAAACAGTGGCATACTAAAATAGTATGGGCAGCCAGGCTAAGTCACCCCTGTTGGCACTCTCGTCAGAAGACCATTCCCTCAGTCTGTCAGGGGCAGACGGATATGGCAGCAGGGAGTATTTATGTGGTACAGCTCAGGCTGCAAGAAGCTAGAGGTAAAAACATAAACATCACACCAACATGGGCAGATGTCACACAAGGTCACTCTTTGACTCTCACCTCTGTGAGATCAACATAGCCTCTTGAGAGCACACTTTGGAACACAGGGAAGGCTTCCTGGAAACTAATGGAAGGGCTAAAAGCCCAATGAGTGTGCCTGTGTGTATGACCATTTGTAGACTGAAGACAAAATGGCCAGAGTTACAGTCTGGCACTCCTGCCAACCTCCAAGACTGATTTTGAAATTATGGGACCGATGCATTAGAAAATGCAGACTAAAATCTAAATACATCCCCCAAAACGTTCAGAATGGACACTGACATTAATATGATTGCCACAATTATCTTCTTTTAAACAAGCAATTTGGGGTGATTAAGAGCCAATTTTCTGCTCCTCCAGAGGACCCGGGGCCACGTGGTGGCTCACAACCATCTGCAACTCCAGTTCCTCCATAGTCATCAACCAAGCAACCGAGCATGTGGTGTGTTTGTGTGTGTGTGTGTATGTGTGTGTGTGTGTGTGTGTATGGGTGTGTGTGTGTGTGTATGTGTGTGTGTGTGTGTGTGTGAACTCATGCAAGCAAAACATACAAAATAAAGTGAAAACAATTAGTGCATATTTTAGGCACTAATTAGGTCCTAAACACACAAAAATGGAGTCAGACTCAGCTTCCTAGTCTCATAGCCTTGTGCCACTGCAATGCAGAGACATGTCTCCCCACTGTGTGGTGGCAGGTTCCTGACGTCTGTCACATGGGCCACACATAGTACAGAGAGAGGCTTCTCTCTCCCAGTCACTGCCTGCAGGCTTGGGAGCTCCCCCAGGCACACCATGGCAAATTTAGGGGTTTTGCTCATGCAGACAGAAAAGAATTCAGAAAATGTAGAAAAATACAAACGGGAATGCCCTTACTCTTAGGTATACATGTGTGTACATGCCAGACTAGTCTCTGCATCCCTACATGTCTGGAGAGGCGTGGGCTGTGTGGAAGTTTATCCCTTGTTAGCGTAAGGACTGGAAGTAGGATGCTCATGTGCCCAGCTCCTGGCATGGTCACCAGCACCCCGACCATCACCAATGTTAGCACTCTGGGACAAGGAGCTAGGTCACCCATGCTGTCAACTGACCAGTACTAGGGGACAAAGCTCCAATCCCTGCCTGTCAGGAGCCCCTCTTGGAAAGCCACCTATGGCTGAGTTCCATAAAGGAACAGCTTGTCCCCCTCTCTCTGGTCCTCACCTACATACATGCCTGCCCCCTCTATGAATCAAAACCCAGGCAGCAATATTGCTATGCTATTGTCAGGCTGGCCAGCTGGGGTCTTCCCCAGTCTCCTCAGGCTCCATAGCCCCTTTCCCACTTCTTCCCCAGACACCCCTAGGCCTGTCTACCTCCAGGCAAGTGGCTGCACTCCCGCCTGCCTGCCTGCCTGCCCCCTCACCCTGAAGGTGGGTCTGGTTCTCCAGGGCAGACTTTCCCTTTACCCTCATCAGTCCCTACGGTGGCCCCAGAACCAGCCTAGCCCACGGCGGACACGCAACTAACGCACTGCTAGAGCACCGTGACCCCATAGGGAGTTGGAGTCCATGGGAGGAACCTAGACGGCTGAGAGCGGCTACAACTGGAAAAGCCAGTGCCAACATGAGCCAGGAGCTGCCACTGTTCTGCCATCAGCTCTCTAGCAGATTCCAGACCTTCAACCTGCCTGTCTACCAGCCCTGCTGCTCCTTTGCAACACAGCCGGGTCTTGCGAGAGACCAACAAGGTCACCATGATCAGCATGGACAGGATTCTGAGACACGGCCCAGGACACAGACTTGAGAACACACCATAGCACTTTATTGCTGATCAGGAGGACGAGACTGCTGTGACACAGACGCTTCTTGCATGAGGCCACCACAGGGTGCAACCCTGGACTCCTCCCCAGGCTCAGTCCCCCTCTTGGGACTCTGACAACCTCCAAGCTGATTCTTCCAAATGGGGCACTGGATGGATAAGAGGAGGCTTAGGAAGGAGTATGGAGGTCCAACTGTTGGGCCTGAGCAAGTGACCACTAAGCCTTACTCTCTTTCCCTAGGCCTCTCCCAGTCTACAGGGTACGGCTACAATCAATTTCTTTATGCTTTGCCCCAGTGCTTACAGTGCTGCCTGCAGCAAGAGGACTTGTCAGCTATGGTCACCTTTCAAAGACAACTCCCCACAAGATCTGCAAGACAAAGGCTATTACCAGATTCTGGGTAAACCCCACTGAGGGTACCTGTTACAGGAAATCCATGTTTTATAACAAATGAACAAATCAAGAGACGTAGTGTTCAGAGCAGGAACAGCCCAACCACTTGGGAGCTGCCAAGCCCAGGACAGTGGGTAATGCCAGGGCTAGAATACAGCCAGACGCCTGTGGCACTCACCACTTTAGCAGAGCCAGGGAGGAGGAGGATGGAGGGGGCAAAGAGTCAGGCTGAGGGAGCAGGCAGGCCGTTATAGAAGCAGACACCTGTTGAGACCCACATAGCTAGAAATTCTAAGGGGACACCTCAAACAAGAGCAGCCCATATGTTAACTATCATCTTGTGCTGATGTGACCAGCAGATATCCAGTGACAGCAACCCCCCTGGCACCCATGTCTTGGCTCTGCAAAGAAGTTACATGACCACTTTGCATAGTGATGTCACCACAAGTGGAGAGCCAGGATGGCTCCTGCTCTATTCTCCCTATTCCACCCACCAAGACACACCTACATACCACACACACACACACACTCACCCATCCACACACATCCATCCACACACACACCCATCCACACTCACACACACCCATCCACACTCACACACACCCATCCACACTCACACACACCCATACACACACACCCACACACATATACACACACACCCATACACACACCCATACACACACACACCCATACACACACCCCCATACACACACACACCCATACACACACAGACACCCATACACACACACACCCATACACACACCCCCATACACACACACACCCATACACACACAGACACCCATACACACACACACCCATACACACACCCCCATACACACACACACCCATACACACACAGACACCCATACACACACACACCCATACACACACCCCCATACACACACACACCCATACACACACAGACACCCATACACACACACACCCATACACACACCCCCATACACACACACACCCATACACACACAGACACCCATACACACACACACCCATACACACACCCCCATACACACACACACCCATACACACACAGACACCCATACACACACACACCCATACACACACAGACACACACACACACACACACACACACACACACCCATACACACACACACCCATCCACACTCACCCATCCACACAATCCATACACACACACACACCCATCCACACACACACACACACACCCATACACACACACCCATCCACACACACCCATACACACACACCCATACACACACACACCCATACACACACACACACACACACACACACACACACACACCCATACACAGACACATACACATGACTAGCCATTTGGTCCCAGCTGTAAATTCTGGGAAAACATCAGGAAAATAAAGGCTTCATCTTTGTCCCAGGCAGCAGCAGTTGGCCCCTCGCCAGCCCACCCCAACATGGCACCCAAACCTACTCAAGATCATGATGTCGTTGCAGTCCTTTTTATGGAATTCGGTCCAGGCCTTGGTCTTGCAGTACTTGCTGCAGGTCAGGATCCCATAGCAGCGGGGACAGGGTGTGAGACGGACTCCAATGGAGCGACCACACTGGTAGCAAAACTTGTAAAAGGGAAGGCTGTAACAGAATTCCCCAGGTCAGGTCTGTGCCCGTGCCTGAGCTCATAGGGCAGTCCTGCCCCCGCATCCCACCAGGCAGATCAGCCACCACATATGGAAAGAAGGCCTCACGTCCCCACCCAGAATTGTCTCCACATGGTTATTCTGAACAGTTAATACACACCCAGCCTTTGGGCCTACCACAGCTTCTGTAAAGGCTGCGCATCCAACATGGAGACTGGAGGCAGCTTACAAGCACAGGGGCCTGGGTTGTGAGTGGCATGGCTGCGGTGAGTCAGCTACCTGAGGGCAGACCTCAGAGCTTGTGTTTGGGGAGAGACGAGGAGATGCTCCCCACCACCCTCTATACCCCTGCCCTGTCCCTCAGCGCTAATGCTACAGATGTTCCCACAAATATGCTTAGGTCCTTCCCAGAGGGTACACAGCACAGGTGACCACAGGGACCCTTCTGCCACAGAAACACCCTGCAAGAGGATGGCAGGGAGTTCCCAGAAAAACAGCGGTTGAGCTGGGCTGCGCCCTGCCCCAGGCAAGTGGCCACCCTCCTGAGGATGTGGAGCTAGTGTGCCCCACCCAGACAACCCAGCTCACTGAGTCCTGAGACTCCATCTGTTAGCCTCATCCCGGCTGGAACCTGTGCCTGTGCGCTGGGCTGCCTGGCCAAGGCTCTGCCACTCAGGAGAGAGAGGGGGCAGTAGGGCCAGAGCCCATAGCACTCACTGCTGCTTTTCTGTGGGTGAGGTCTTAAGTATGCTGGAGCTCCTCCTCTTCAGCCTGTGGCTGGGGGACAGCTCTGCTGTGGAGAGATCTGAGTCAGCACCTGGTGGTGGGGTGGGGCGGGGCGGGTGTCACAGGCAGCTCGGGGAGAGGCCCTCACCCACGGCCATCGCCTGCACCTGCACCTGCACCTGCATAGGGCTTATCTGCCTGCAGCCCCTGCCTAGGTCCTACCTTCACCATCCTCTCCCATTCAGGATTCAGCTGGCTACACCACTAAAGGCTACCTACCGGGCAGCCTTGCCCGGTCTGCACACCCTCTGAAGAAGTGGCTCTGAAGACCTTCCATTCGTCTCTGAGGCCCTCATTATGTCTCCCTGCTCTGTCTCAGAGGCCAGCTGTTACTTGTTCAGAAACCTGAATTTGTAGAGTCCACAGTAGTGGTGAATCTTGTCAGCTTAGTGATTTAAAATCACCTAGGAGGCAGACCTCTGGGCATGTCAATGAAGGCATTTCCAGACAGGCTTAAGTAACATGGCTCGACCAACCCTGAGTGTAGGTGGCACCATCTAGTAGGATAGGGACACAGACTAAGTAAAAAGGAGACCAAGCTGAGACCAGCATATCTCTCTGCTATGGCTAAAAGGTGGCCAGTCACTTCACACTTCTGTCAGTACGACTTCCCTCTTGAACTGAAAACCAAAATAAATGTTTTCTCCCATAAGTGGCATGTGTTGGGTGTTTTGTCATTGTAACAAGGAATGTTTTCACTGCCTTTTCTTAAACATAGTTTTGCTAACTATTAAAAGAAATCTTAAAAGTAGTTTCTGTGGCTCAGTGGTTAAGAGCACTGGCTGCCAGTCAGAGAGCCTGAGTTCAGTTGCCAGCACCCACATGGCAGTTCCAGGTCCAAAGGAGCCACCACCCTCTTCTGGCCTCTCCGGGCCCCAGGTACACAAGTGGTGTGCATACATACTTGCAGACAAACAATCACACACATAAAAAATTAATGACAGTTTTAAAACAGAAGAGTCTGATGAGAAGCCAACTATTGGTACTCCTGTAAGTACTAAATCATAGCTCTCTCTCTCTCTCTCTCTCTCTCTCTCTCTCTCTCTCTCTCAACAGGGTTTCTCTGTGGCTTTGGAGGCTGTCCTGGAACTTGTAGCTCTTTTAGACCAGGCTGGTCTCAAACTCACAGAGATCCGCCTGCCTCTGCCTCCCGAGTGCTGGGATTAAAGGCGTGCGCCACCAGGGCCCAACTAAGTCATCTTTTTTCTTGAAGCTCTGACTTTCTCCCGATCTTTGGGGCTCCTGACATTTCACTGTAAAGTGTTTCTGGATTTCTTTGCACTTAGATGCCCTGGGACTGACCTTCTAGAATGTAGCAGTCAGCACTGTGTGTCCCTGGGACACTGCGAACTCACACACCTTTGACTGCTTCCTGCTCCTTTCCCTTCCATTTCTGGAATCCCACCACACATGCGCTGAGAGCTCACCGCACCACACACCCGCCACTGCCGGCTCTTTTTTATAATGTCTCTTCTGTACTGATACTCTCTACGAGTCAAGGTGTTGCCAGGGCACCTTCCTTTGCTGCCTTACCACGTTTCTAATGGCACCCTCACCAGGAGTGTCTGTCTGTCATGCTAGCACATGGGTCAGATTCTCGTTTCTTTGCATGCATGTGTGTCTTGCTGTTGGTACTGGTGTTGTGTTAGGTCCTAATCCTACACCCCAGGCCAAGCTTGCTGCTGCTGTCCACTTGTTTGTTGGCTAACTGGGTTGTGAGGTGCCCCCATCCCACAGCAGGAAGTTCCTGTCCCTGCTTCACAGGGAGTGCAGCCTAGGGCACGGCCATAGTCGCCCTCTCTGTCTCTGCCCATGACTGCCTAGATATCAGCTCCACCAGTGCTGGGCTGGTTGCTCCACTGCTTTCAGAAGTCTTCCTGGAACATAAATGACTCCTCAGAGTGAGTCCATCACTTTGTAACTATTTGGGGCAAAAGCCTCCAAGGCCAGTGCTTAAGGCTTGCTCCTCTGCCCTCATTTCTCCTAGTTCTTTCTACTAAGTAAGCCATCCTGTAGCTCAGCCGGTAGTCTCAGTGGGTCACTGAACTCACAGGAGCCTCTCGCCATCAGGCCTGCACTTGTCTGTGTGCTATTGAAGAGGACTCCGTTTCGTTGACAAAGCTCACTGCTCTACTGCATGGCATCAAGGCTCTGGAAACAGAGAGGGATGGCAAACCTCTCCATGGGTGGTATCCCCACTTTGGGATCTACTCGGTGATGGGAAGGAGAGGTTGTATGCTGGGGTCTTCTCAGCCAGCCCCCTTAGCCAGGCCCCATGCCTAGTAGCTGTTGTGGGAGGTCAGAGGCCCAGCATTCTCAGTGGTGTCACAGGAAAGGCAGAGCCTGTGTCCCACAGTAGAATCGCCACCCAGGCACACTGGCCAGATCTCAGCCTCCACATTCTCCATCCTTTGGGGACAGCTGTTTGAGTCAGGATACAGTAGTGTATGGGGGCAGGGACAAAGGAACGGGAATAGTTAGTGGCTGTATAAGCATATGTGTGTGTACAATAATTAGGTCCTGGGCACAAATGTGAAGTGTGCTAAGTAGGTTTATGGGTGGGAGTGTGAAAAGTATTTAGGGGAGGCTGGTTGTGTGGATAGCAGAAGGTGGTAGTCCCGTGTGTAAGCGTGGGTGTGTAGATGGCTGTGTGTAAGTGTGGGCATGTAGCTGGGAACTATTTGCAGGGAACAGGGGTAGGGGGATGGCAGGATGGGAGGTGGAGAGAATGAGCATGGGGGGGGATTCGGGATATCAGGGTGTGAGTGCACAGGAGGTGGACATGCGTGTGTGTGTGTGTGTGTGTGTGTGTGTGTGTGTGTGTGTGTGTAGCAGGTGGGGCTGTGGGTAGGGGTGGGTTACGCTGGAGGGGAAAGAGCCGATTATATTTAGTTGTGGTTGAATTTGTGGCTCTAAGGAAGGTATACAGTTGGTGCATATGTGGGGATGGGTGTGGGTAAGTAGACCCTCCGTGGTTTTGTGGCAGGTCTTGGTGCATATGGACGCGGGGTGTATGGTAGAGGCAGTGGTTCCTGGGTGGGAGCTCCATGTGGGTGGGTGTGCACTGGGGGCAATGTGAGTGAAGGCATCCATGGGCATAAAGACGTATGTGCACGGTGGGTAATTGGGGTGTTGCGGAAGAGTGGTGGACGGGTAGGCATGTGTGAGACGGTTGGGATGGGGCAGGGAGGGTTGCAGTCTGATTTGACTGAGAGGGAACCGTGAGGGACACTGACAGTGGGGGAGGGTCCGGGCAGAATGTGGGAGAGCTGGTACAGGCCTGGAGAATGGGGGTGTTGGGGTAAAAGCAGAGCTAGACTACGCACCCTCATGAGCCAGCCTCGCCTACCTCTCTTGCTCAGGTACAGAGACTTCATGTCCAGCTGGTTCTCTTTGTTAAGGACGGCACGCCGTAATTGCAAACCCATGTACTCTAGCAGCCTTTTCCGGGCCAAGAATATCTCCCGCTCCGCTGGCATCAGAGCGTGGAAGGGGCAGTGCGCAATCTTCCGGTCCTATGACAGAGCACTGGGTCACTCTGAGTCCTGTGGCCGCCACTTGCCGGTCAGGCACACTCGAGGGTCACCCCCAGCCCAGACTGCAGAGTAGCTGGGTGAGCAGGCCACCTCTCTCCATCCTTGTTAGTGTGACACAGCAGGGCACTTGCTCACAAGAGCCTGAAGCATCATGGCGTCCTCCGCCCTGGAAGGACGGCCTTGGCTGTAGACTCCTAGCTTTACCCAAGACAAGCCAGGTCTCAAAGGGGTCCTGCTTAGAACCCAAAGCCACACCTGGTAGAATTTGAAGTAGCCATAGTCCACGGCGGTTCCCACTGCCGTCCTTTCACCTTGCACGAGCGCCACGGGTTTGAGGATGTCTGCCCCATAGCTGATGAGCCGGTCAATCTGCAGAACACAGCATCTGTTAGGCACACAGGGCCACCACCGGAGGGGTGACAGAAGCCACCTGCTACACTAGACTTTGCAGGGCAGTTCCACACGGGACCATGTCATGATGCGCATGGCTCTCGGGTCCTGCGAACACACTCACTGGGCAGCTGAAAGGCAGGCAAAGGGCACCGCCCAGCAGGAGAGCGTGGCTGCCCAGGAGGGTTGTTGTCCCCTGCCTTCTCCAAGATGGACATCCCTCACGTGCGTGAGAAAGTCAGAGACAAATACAATAGACAGGGCTGACCTCCTAGCCTCATCCTAAGACGTCACTCCCTGGATGGGAGCCCTCCCAGACTCTATTCACGGTCACAGTGACGTCAGGTACAGCGGAGCACCAGTCAGCCTTCCAAAGCTCTGTCCCTCTTACGGAAGTCAGAAGCACCCTCAGTCAGGGCGCCAGGAAGTGCAACGCCTCCTGGGCAGTACACCCTCCTGGGCCTGTTTCTGAACAATTTCTTAGTCCGCACGTATTATTGTGTGAAGTGACGTGTGACCTGAGAGTTGTCAAAGCACACAATGAAGGCTGGGACACGGTAAAAGAAACTGGCAGCTGCAGGTGACCAACAAGCCGAGTCAGGAGGGTGTGGTGGGCAGTGACTTGTGGAATACATGTGGCTGTTATTCAATCAATTCCAGCTGGGTGTGGTGGTGGACAGCTGTAATTCCAGCACTTAGGAAGGAGGCTGAGGCAAAAGATTACAAATTTGAAGCCTAGTAAGGCTACAGAACAAGACTGCCTCCCCTCCCTCTTTCTCCCTCTCACACACATACACTTTCTCTTCCTCTCTCCCTCTCTCCCTCTCCCTCTCCCTCCCTCTCTCTCTCTCTCCCTCTCCCTCTCTCTCTCGCCCTCTCGCCCTCTCTCGCTCTCTCTCTCTCTCTCGCTCTCTCTCTCTCTCTCGCTCTCTCTCTCTCTCTCGCTCTCTCTCTCTCTCTCGCTCTCTCTCTCTCTCTCGCTCTCTCTCTCTCTCTCGCTCTCTCTCTCTCTCTCGCTCTCTCTCTCTCTCTCGCTCTCTCTCTCTCTCTCGCTCTCTCTCTCTCTCTCGCTCTCTCTCTCTCTCTCGCTCTCTCTCTCTCTCTCGCTCTCTCTCTCTCTCTCGCTCTCTCTCTCTCTCTCGCTCTCTCTCTCTCTCTCTCTCTCACACACACACACACACACACACACTCACACACACACTAAATAAATGGATTTGGGTACTGTGGAAAGGTACGAACGTACTGTCTACTTTTGTAGAATATTTCACTCACAAATCCTGGGCTCCAGGAAGCCTACAATGTACAAGCAGGCCTGCCAGGTCCAGACACTGCCAACAGATTGGCACCATCTCATTTCTCATGCACTGTGGGAGGTGGGTGCTCAGTGCTGGATGCTGTGTCCTTTAGTGTATTTTACTCAAGACATGATCTTAGGATGACCCAGGCTACCCCACCTTGAACCCAGTCAGTACTCTCCACCCCCCTACCTCATCCCCAGCCTCCTCCCATGCTTCCCCTCACCAAGGCAATCTTGTTCTCCGTGCTCCTCTGTTGCTCATAGGCCAGATCACACACAACGCATAGGGCAGTGCCCAAGCCTTTGGTCAGAGGCAAGTTGGGGTCAGCTCCCTGGGACAGGAGTTCCTTCACAACCTGGACACACAGACAGACTGCTGAGCAACCATGGTCCTGGGTACAATCTAAGGTCCATGGGTGGGAAGGATCATGGACAAGCTCCTTCGGGAGGAGCCGCAGTTCTACCCGGGGCCTGATTCCAACACTATTTTGATGCACATAGCTCTGATGGGTTCTGCTCCTCTCTCACTTTCTAGCCCGGGGAAGAGCCTGGCTCTCAGGCAGGTACGCACCACTGGCCAAGAGCACCTCTGTCCAGGCTCTTCGGCCACCCCCCCTCCAACTCTCATTTTTCTTCACTCATCACTATCTAAAACTGTGCTGCAGGCTCATGTAGGGCCCGATTCCCACAGATATAATGTGTGTTGGGGGATCCTCAAAGTGGAGGCTGTATCCTCAAAGCCTGCCGCTCACAGTAGTGCCTGCCTCCTCCCAGAAGCTGCTCAGTAAGCAAAAGTCAAATGAAAGGAAGGATGGGTGAGAGGCTGTGTGAAAGAGCGATGGTGATAGGCCGCTGGGAGCGTGGACGGAGGAGCAGGTGGGTCAGTAGATGGGTGTCTGGGAGGGTGAGGGAAAGCAGGCTGAGCAGCTATATGGTTAGATTGGCAGGTAGGTGGCTGGGTGGGTTAGTAAGTGGGAGACTGGGGAGATGAACCAGGCAGTAGACGGAGAAGTGGGAAAATGACACAGGAAACCCTGTGGCTGACTGGAGGAAGGGAATCAATGGTGGCAGAAATAGCAGAGTTCCCTGGTGCGCACCCACACTGGAGCTGGGCATGTAAGAGCCAAATACACAAGAGCCAGGTGCACAAGGAGTCAGGTCCGCTCACCAGGTCATTCCCACTGGCAATGGACAGGGAGAGCGGGGAGTGCCCGCTCCACAACATGTTTGGATTTGCTCTGTGTGAGAGAAGGAGTCGGACTATGTCTCTGGCACACTGTGGGAAGAAAGGCAGAAGCACATGAAATCAGAGGCCCATACCCAAGGAGCCCCTACACACCAGCAATAACACAATTGCTACCCCTAAAGTCAAGCCAGTCACCCAACTGCCGGCTCCCTGCACCAGAACCAACCTAAGCAAAAACTCCAAACAGGGACTTGGGGCAAGGGAGATGGAGGATCCTCCGACAGACTCCAAACATTTAGCTGGGCTCACTTGTGAACCTCTTGCCGGTTCTGTTGGTGGTCAGTGTCCCTCTATTTCCCCCACTGCAGGGGGACCTGATGGGCCAGTCGCCGCCTCTCACCCCTGTACCATCCCCCCATTCTCCCCAGTGAGCCTGCACTCTGATGCCCTACACCTCCCCTCCCCACAGCCTCACGATTCCCTGACCTGCCCAGGCCACTCGGTCTCTTCTGAGGCGTCCCCATACCAGCCTTGCTCAGATTGAGTCCCGAGGCAGATGGGAGCCAAGTGGCTACAGGGCAGGGGGCTCAGGCCGTGGAGGTAAGAGGATGACTGAGGGGTTGGTAGCCCCTGGATCCCAGGCATGTCTGACCCAAGGGCAAGAGTGACTTCACATGGCATCCAAGGCTAAGCCAGAGGTGGGGCCACACGTGGCCAGGAAACTCTCTTCAGAGCATGAGAACCCGTGGACCCTTTTCATATGTTCATTCACTTTTGCCTGCACAGTTCAACTCCTTTGGAGAACACTGGATTTCTGCGATGGTTTGGAAAGCCCAGCACAGCGGCTTTGGAGCCATAGGCCTGGATGCAGCAGCCAGGGTCCCACATCGAGAAGCCAGCATGGCAGAGACATGGCAGAGAAGAGACATCTGCTCACACCAGAGCTGCTCTCTCTGCCCAGAGCTACCACAGAGACAGCACCCACGCATGCACACACTAGCACCCACGTGTGTACATACATGGACACACATGCACACACTAGCACCCACGTGTGTGGATGTATGGACACACACACCCCAACTTAGAAGTGAAAGCTTATAGACACACATATCATATTTGAACAAAATCTTGCCTGGCCTAACATCCCTCACACAGCAACCCTCAGGGCTCGGCCTGTCCTGACCCCCGTGTCACACTCCTCACTCTGACAATCCAGCCAAGCCCATGACAGGGCCCCACGGCTGCTCACCTTCTTGTTGTCCTCTCGCTCACAGGCCACATGCAGGGGCGTGCGTCCGCCCTCTTCTGGGATGAATGTGCTCACGTTGTAGTAGCTCCTGGGTGGGCCTGTTTCATTGTTGAGCTTCAAGCTTGAGGGCAGGAGGTCAACCTGGGGTAAACACAAGGCTTGAGACAGGCCTATGTGTACCAGAGTGCCTGCTGGCAGGCCACAGGTGTGGAGTGTCTTCCCACAGAGCCCTCCCTGTACACACTCCTTTGAATCCTCCCAGAGCCACCATGACTCCCACCCTTGACAGGGCTGGACTCACAGGCATGCACCACCAAGCCTGTTTTTGTTGTGGTTGGTGGTGGTGTTTTTGTATTGTTGTTCTGTGGTACCAAGGATGTTGTCATTTAAAAAGCAGCACAAGAGAAAAAGACGCCATGAGAGAGAAAGACGCCAGATGACAGAGCTCAGGTAGAGGGGTTTTTTATTAGGGGAAAGGGAATGGGAAAAGGAGGAAGGGGGGAGAAACTGGCCTCTGGGGACATAAGCAGCAGAAGAGAGAAGAAAGGGGGCAGGGAGGAGACAGAGAGACAGGCAGAGAAGCAGAGAGAGAAAGGAACAGGCAGAGAGAAAGATGGGAGGTGGGCAGGGCCCTTTTTAAAAGCAACATAGGGGCCGGGCGTTGGTGGCGCACGCCTTTAATCCCAGCACTCGGGAGGCAGAGGCAGGCAGATCTCTGTGAGTTCAAGGCCGGTTAAAAACACGGCCTGGTCTCCAGAGTAAGTGTCAAGATAGGCTCCAAAGCTACACAGAGAAACCCTGTCTCGAAAAAACAAAAAAAAACAAAACAAAAAACAAAAAAAACAAACAAAAAAAAAAAAAAAAGGCAACATAGGGAATTTTGCACAGGTGGTACTCTTAGTGGCTGCAGCTGAGGACATATCCTGTCAGAACCCCAAGGACAGGCCAGTACAATGCCTAAATACCAACAATGGAATGCTAGAAAACCACACTACCAATTGAGCCCCAACCCCAGTTTCTCCCCTTTTTTGAGACAGGGTCTCCCTATGAGCTTACTATGTAGATTAGACTGTGCCAGAACTCACAAAGATTTGCCCACCCCTGCCTCCTGAGTACTGGGAATTAAAGACATGTGACACCATGCCTGCGACATCCCCAGCCTTTAATTAATTATTTTTGCCTGAGTCTCCCAAGTGTGTCAACCCTGCTCCCTCCCACATTGCTGGGTGCTGACCCACCTGGCCTGCCCACACCGGGAGGGGCCGGGACCAGGAGCACGATGACCAGAGCATGTACATGAGTCTCTTTTTGTCACCTCACCCCCTTTGTCAGTAGGCACAGCTGCAGAGCCAAACAGAACCACACCTTGCCAGTTTTGTATAGGTCGTCCTGGTCAGCCGCCTTGGCGTCCACGTCAGTGACTGCGTGGAGCAGCAGCTCCGTGATCTTGACCCCCTCCTCCCCAGGAAGCGAGGCTGCGATGTGGAGCGGGGTCAGAGACAGCAGCTGTGGGGACGAAGTGTGGTAAGGGTGAGACCTGGTCTGCAGCCAGGCAGGTGAGGCCCTGGGTAGGGTTATGCCAGGGTCCTTGATGCCCAAACAGAGGAAAGGATGCATACTTCACTGCAACCATTTCCGGTTCCCACAACACCATCTCCTTTTCACCAGGCCCATGGTGCAGGACAAGGAGGCCCAGGAGGGCAGAGGTAGACAAATGCCCACAACAATGGATGGACCGAATGCTCTTAAATGCCATGGAACCCACGGGCATCCAGGGTCACAGCTGTGAATGCCTGAAGATCGACTGGCTTGACCCCAGTTAGTTTTGGGCCATCTGTCTGACACTATCTTCTAAGACCTCTGTATCCCTGCCAGACTCTAGTCCAGATACCGCCATCTAACAGCCCATCGCTAACCACCCTTCTGACTCTCCCCATGGTGTCCCTCCCCCCATTGTCTGAAGTTGGTCCCCGATAGATTGTCTCTGAGCTCCAGCAGTTCATGGTTGTGGGGGGTGGGGTGGGGGGGTGACACAACCCTGCTCTCAGAGTGAATACCAACAACTGAGATAGCCCAGTCAGGAAGACATGCCTTTGTCCCCAAACCAGTTCCTCTCAGTAACATCTCACTCAAGTAGGAATGAAAGTGCCTGGAGAACCCCCTGAAGGCGGGGTGTAGTTATCCTGGAAGGCAGAAAGAGCTCACAGTGGGTGGTGTGATGAGGCAGGAGATATTGGAACACTGGGAAGCAAGCAAGGAAGCATTAGCTCTACAGGGCACACAACCTTGACACACTCCTGCAGCTGACTCAGGCGTGGAGTCTCCGCAGCCCAAGAGCAGCTGGGTGCTGTGGGGTATTTGTTTAAGATGTGTTACATTCATTTATGCTGTGGAATATTTGTTTAATGATGCAAAGGTATGTCGCATTCTTTTATGTTGCATTTGTTTAACTCTGTAAAGCTGTGTTACTTGGCCTGCTCAAAACACCTGATTGATCTAATAAAGAGCTGAACGAATGGGCCAATAGCTAGGCAGGAGGGAGAAATAGGCAAGGCTGGCAGGCAGAGAGAATAAATAGAACTCTAGAGAAGAGGATAAAGAGCCCGGGGAAAAAAAGGAGAAGGAGAGGGGGACTCCAGGGGCCAGCCAGCAAGCCACAGAATAAGAAGGCAAGAAAGATATATAGAATAAAGAAAGGTAAAAAGCCCGAAGGCAAAATGTAATTAAAGAGAAAGGAAATCATTTACGTTAGAAAAGCTGACTAGAAACAAGCCAAGCTAAGGCCAGGCATTCATAAGTAAGAATAAATCACCTTGTATTTATTTGGGAGCTGGGCAGTAGGCCCCCCAAAGAGAAAAAAAAAAAGGGCTATGAACTTCCTCTCCTATTAAGGCTGGACAAGACAACCCAGTAGGAGGAAAGGGTCCCAAAAGCACAGTCAGACACAGTCCCTGATCCTCCCGTTAGGAGCCCCACACGAAGACCAAGCTATGCATCTGTAACATACGCACAGAGGGCCTAGGTCAGACAAAACCTACAGACTCCACTAACTTGGGCTCCTAGGGGCTCACAGAGACTTAATTGCCAAGCAGAGAGTTTGCCTGGAACTGCAAAGGCAACCCCCTTAGCCAGACGTGGTGGCACATGACTGTGATCACAGCTACCTGGGAGGCTGAGGCAGGATAATCACAAGGTTAAGGCCTGTTCCACCACACATCCAGTTTGAGGCCAGCTGGGGCCACATGATGCTCTGACTCAAATACTAAAGAAAAAATTATTACAGGAAGCCACCCAGGAGGGAGGAGGCAGGAGCCAAGGCCTCACTAGTCCACCCAGGCCACTGTGCTGTGGGCTTGAGACATCAGGTTCTCGATGCAGGAGATTTGTTTTTTTGTTTCTGTTTCTTGTTCTGTGTTTTTCAAGTTAAGGGCAAACTAATCTGACCACATGACTTTTTACTTCCCCAACTGTATGCAAGTGTTCTGTCCTTGGGCAAGCCACCCAGGTTCCTCTCTGACTTGCTGAGGTCTGAACCACAATCAGAGTCCAGACAAAAGGACAAAGTGCAGCTGATACACTGAACTACAGTGATAGTCTTTACCCCGGGGTTAGGGCAGTCCAAAAATGGGCATTGGGGTCAGATGGACTGTGCAGGAAGCCTAGCCTCACTTTGACCTTCCTCCTAGGGCACAAGGCCCTGGGTGACTTCCAGGGATGTTGGGAGTTAATATAGTGTGTGTTCTGTCCCTGAGGACAGTGTTTCCAGAGCTGTGGCTTGGGGAAGGCTGGAAGGACCAGGTAGGACTAGATGGTCTGCCCACTGCTCAGGTGGACTGGATATGAGCAAGGTTTACACAAATGGAACCCTGAAAGCCAAGAGTCCGCCAACAAACTCTGTGGCAGCTGAGTTTCATCCTCGGAGTTCCAGCTCTTCACACAGGCTCAAGAATTGAGAGCAATGTGCTTGTCAAACATGTTCCCCAGGAGGTGAACTAATTCAGAATGGGAAGTAGCTAGTTAGTGCCTGGTAGTACTGTCCAGACCCAGGGCTTCCAGTGGGTGGCAGTAGTGCAGGAGGGGTCCAGGATAAGCAAGGCAGAAGGGACACGGGGCATGGTCAAAGGGAGACATAGAAACAGATATATGGGCAGGAAACTCCGGCTTGTTTTCAGCTGGCTGGACTTGCCGGGCTTAAAGAGCTCCCCAGTTTGCTTCGATTCCTCCTGACTCTCCATGAAACTGAAGCCATTGTGAAAGAGGGTGGGTCTGGCCTTTGCTTCCTCTCATAACTCTCATCACACATTTGTTTCAAACACAGGCGAGGCGGTGCACTAGAAAACTACACTCCTCGTGGAGCACTGTGAGAAATAACACCCCTTCAAAACCATATTAATGAAACCTCAGTGGTAGGCCCCCTTCCTCCCATGATGCCACCAAGGCCTCACACACCAGGTGTTTACAGGCAGGGTGGACCAGCCCTACTGCCGGCCCTGAGGAGCTATGGGCTTTAGAATAAGGGCCTGGGAGTCTGTGTGTGTCCCACATCCATTGTCTGGCAGAGGCCCCTCTGACCGCTAACACCCACCTGTGCAGGAAACTGAATATCAGTCCGGGCCCCGCTCTCCAGCAACAGCCTCACCCCATCCACATCCCCGGCCTTCACGGCAAGAAACAGGGCCTGCATGGGCACCTGGCATAGGTTGGGATCAGCACCTCTGTGCAGCAGCAACGTGATGGTCAGCCAGCGGTTTCTACGCCTGTGGGTACCAGAAGGGCCGCGTCAGAGGATGGAGGGCATGTATGGGGCGGTCACCACACCTGGGATCTGGACAGGATCCTCCACACAAGGGATGAGGGGTGCTGACAACATAGACACACTGCACCCCAGCATCGAGTCTTTCTTGGAAATACCCAATGTCAGCCCTTCCCATCCTCAGAAGCATAGCTAACTAACATCAGACCCCCCTGTGTGGGCCACCCGAGCTAACCTCAGCTGTGGTCCTGCAGGGCCTCAGTCCAGCACAGTCACAACCTCACTGAGATTCCTCATGAGGTGGGGACTGGCCCCTCCTGGGGTGGGTACCAGACAGTGAGTGGATATGCACGCACCCTCCCACCGCACACCGCCCATGTGTTGAAAATACAGCCCCACCATGGTGCCCTTGCAAGGATGCTATCTTGGGGCTTTTTTTTTTAGTGTGATAAAATGCTATGACAAAAAGCAACTCGGAGAGGAAAGGGTTTGTTTTATCTTACACTTCCAGGTCACAGTCTATCATTGAGGGAAGCCAGGGCAAGAACTCAAGCAAGGCAAGAACCTGGAAACAGGAGCTGATGCAGAGGCCATGGAGGGTGCTGCTTACTGGGTCAGCCTGCTTTTGTATATACCCTAGGACCACCAGCCCAGAGGTGACACAGTCCACGCTGAGCTGGGCCCTTTCACATTAGCCATCAATCAAGAAAATGCACCGCAGTCTCGCCCAATCTGGTCCAATCTGGTGGGGCATTTTCTTACTTGAGGCTCCCCCTTCCCACGTGACTCTAGCTTGTGTCAAGCTGATATAAAACTGGCCATCACAGAGTCCCAGACAATAGGACATTGTCTCTAGAACCAGCTGCTGGTGGTGGTGCAGGGCTGTGAAGGGTACCCCCTGAAAACGTGACTTGCCCTGGAAGCGATTCTCTGCCCCTACCTACCACAGAGCATCGGTGACTTACTCAGCCATGGTCTGTGCCATTTTCCTCACGGTCCCTTTGTCTGAGAGGGCGGGGATGTGCAGCAGTGAACTATAGGCCTGGGCGCTCTTCTCCAGAATGTCCTTTGAGACGTGGATAGAGTAGTTTCGCAGGCACATGTTAGACTCAAAGTCTGTGTTGACGCTGTACAGGGTGCTGGCATCCATATTTTCTGCCATGTCCTCTGGCTCCTTCTCTATGTCACTGCTGACACTCTTCACTGAGGGGGTGTCTCGTTTGTGAGTCACACTGCTCTTCCAGCTGATGGACTCCCGGGATTGTACAGTGCCCAGGATCAGGGCATCCTCCAGGATGCTTGAGAGGGGTGGTGATGACTTATATTCCTCTCCAACTGGGGTGGACACGCCCATATCGTAGAAGTAATCCACATTTGGCTCTCCAAACAGGAATGAGATTTTGGGAGTGATCAAGGATTTGGGGAGTTCCTATGGCAAGCACCAAAAAGGTCTCATTAGAGGAAGGGAATGAGGCTCTTCCCTCCACAGCAGCCCCAGGAAGAATCTGGATGGTGGTGTGGGGCTCCGTCCACAGTCTACACACCCTTGCAGGGGCAGGGACAACTCTGAAGTCACTACCCAGAACTAGAAGTGAGCAGCCACTGCTCAGGGCTCGTACCACCACCTGTGCCTCCTGAGCTTATGAAACGTGATCTGCCCAGAACCAAGCATCACCGTACAAGGTAAGGATAATTGCTGGTGAGATGGCTCACCCTCATTCTTCATACTGATCTCACATGGGGCGGGGCCGGCACTAGACACTTCACACTAAATAAAACTGCATCATCACAATTAATTTCACTACTTTCTCACTGCTTGAAAATTCTCATTATGCACTTGGATTGCAGCTTAAACTGTATTTCTGCACAGTGGTGCTGCTCTCCATCTCTTGCCTTAGGCACCGGGAATCTCAAAGAGAAGTCCCTAGACTGGTGACTTACGCACCAGCAGAAATCTGTTAGAAATGTAGATTCTCTGGCCCTTCCCCGGCCTCACTGTCAAGAATGTTTCTGGGGGAGGTCTCAGGACCCCAGGCTGCTACGCGTGTGACTCATAGGGAACACGCCCCTCTTGGTACATGCAGCATGGCTCAGGATGCCTTTGGGAGTTCCTAGGCTCTCCCTTCTGACCCCTTCCCCACTAGACTTATCTTTTCCACTCACCATAGACAGGCCTGGTCCACACACCAGGGAGGTGGCGGTGGACATTAAGGTAAATGGGATGCAGAGCAGATGAAGAGGGGGTGGTGAGAACAGGGGCTGACCTGGGGCAGGGTCCTCTCGGCAATGTTGGGATGAAAGGATTTGCTGGGGTAGTACTGGAGAAAGCACATGCTAAGAGGCGTAAGGCCCTCATCCGAGCGCTTGTTCACATCAGCCCCGTAGTCCAGGAGAAGGTTGACAATGTTCCGGTGAGAATGCACCTACAGAGTGACAAGGTCAGACTTGTGAAGACAGGAGCTGGCCCTGAGCAGGACATGGAGATGGCCACCTGGCATCCATGCTCCCTCATACCGCTGCAGGACACACAACACTCATTTGGCCTTGGTGAAGGGACTAGCGTGAATGGAGAGATGAATGGATTCCTCCCAGCATGCTTCCATTTGGCCTTCAGTGTCACACTTGGATGAGTGGAGTTTGGTTTAGTGGCAAGGACTGGGCAGCTCCTGTCAGACGCTCACTGTTTGAGTGGACCACACAAGGGAGCCCACTCCATAGGCCAGTGTTCCTATGGAGAAAGGACTTACCGCGGCAGCAGCCAGCACTGTGTAGCCCTTGGAGTCAGCCACATCAGCACAGGCAAGGTTGTCCCTCAGGATTCCAAAAATCCAGTCATAGTCCCCTTCCTCAGCCTTCAGGATCATCTCCCTGGAGATGAGCTCCTTGGGGCCACTGGGCCCAAAGCAGCTGCGGTTCCCCTCCAGGATGGCAGCTATGTTCCAGCTGGTGTGGGCACTCTTGTTCCTGGCAACACAACAGGCCTCATTGATATTAGACTACAATCTAGATCACCCATTACCTTTGACAAGAAAGAGCCCAAGTGGGGCTGCCTTCCTCCACTTCTCATTCTTCTGACCCCTCAGAATTCCCCTTCCTGCTTTGAGCTCTCCATTTCCTCAGTACCCATCACTCCTTATCTCCCTGAGCCCTAATGGCTACACTGCCTGCCAGTTACAATCAGGATGGAGTGCCCAGGGAGGGATACACATCACCTAGAGGTAAAGTGCTCAGTGCTGAACTGCAAGCCCTGCAACCTTTGTACCTGTCTGGCTCCTCGGGCTCACTACCATTTTACTAGGAAATATGCTCTCAGTGGCAGGACCCTGAGTGTGCAGAAAGCCAGCATGCATGTGGCTCCACTGTTGGAGCCAAGCAAACACATCCCGCCTTCTGCTGGAGTAGAGAATACCAATGTCCCGTGGCCTAGGCCATCACACAACACTAAAATCTTCCTGTGGGTATAGAATGCCATTCCCAATCAAGAACCCATAGACTTTATTCACTCAATAGCTGTCCATGTTTATGAGCTCATTTGATGGCTACTCAATGGATGGATGGCATAGGTAGGTAGATGATTGGATGGATGGATGGATGGATGGATGGATGGATGGATGGATGGATGGATAGTGCATGGGTGAATTCGTGAATGGAATGGAAAGGAAGATGGATATGGGGTGTAGATGGAGTGGGTAAATGCGTGGACTGAATGAATAAAGGGTGGGTAGATAGGTGGGTAGAGATAAGGGTAGTTTCTCGGGTAAAAGGATGAAGGAGTAGCTAGATGAATTATTGATCGATTGATGAGTCAATGGAGTGGGTTGTGTAGGTGAATGGATGGAAGGAAGAATAGACAGATGGCAAATAGTCATGTGTGCCCATCAAATGCACGCTAAAATGTTCACTGATATCTGAGGGCAATGTTTAGGGAAGTAAGAACAGTAGAAGGTACTTGAGTATTTTAACTTCTAAGGTGAAGTTTTCCCTGGATGAGTGATGACTTTCCCTGGGCTGTGCGTATGAAGGCTATCTTCATAAAGCTTTCCCTGGGCAGGTGCTGGCTTTCCCCAAGCTGTGGGTATGGAGGGTATCTCCGGAGACGGCAGAGCAGTGCCGGTTTTCCTGGCTTTCCTTGCAAAGACCAGAGGTCTAATCAGTTTCCAGGCCCCAATCCTTCCCCGAATCACACCCTTGGCTCTCTGCCAGACCCTTCATTAACAAATGATGATAATAGCAATCTCCTCTATTATGTTGGTGTGTAGAGACTTGACTCACAGAGCCTCTAAGGAAGACAGGAACCTGGCCTTAAAGCACACAAGCTCTGGCTTACAGCAGAGGGAATGTTCACGGTTCCAAAACCCAAGGTTTGCCCTCAGGCTTCTGCTCAGAGTGTACCCTAACTCACATCCCCTTCAAGGGTCCACTCCTGTTCTGGGACTGCAGCACAGTTCACTTATGAGCCATTTCTGGCCACTCCTCCCCCCCCCCCCCCCCCCCCCACCACTTAGAGTCCTTGCCCCCTAACAGACATAGGTGCCTCAAGCTCTGCCTGGCTCCCTACCCTCAGGGCACCTGTCTGGTCTCACAGCACTGTGGGGACTGTTTGAATCACTGAGACAAACACTGTGTTCTCATGTTCAACAAGCAAGGCTGAGAGGTACTCGGGCCTTTAGCAGCAGCCCAGTAAAGGGGAACACCAGAACCCACCCCAAAGGGTACCCTATTCAACAAGTGGACAAGACAGAGAGAAAGACCAGACTGATCACCTGAACTTGTAAGTTTGCTTCTGGATTTTGACCAACAAAGGAGTCTCATTTGTTATAAGCCAGGGCTCTTCATCCTCAATGAATGGAGGGATCTCGTTCATGAAGATACGGCCCTCCAGCTCTCTTCGCAGGGAGCCTGTCATAGGCAGGTGGCTGTTGTCAGTTGAATAGATATGCATCTCTGGAGGCAGCGTGATGTCATCATTCAGGAGAAATCGTTTATATTCATAGAAGAAGGGGTCCTGGTCCTCAGGGAGACCCCACATCTTATTCTCCTCATCTGAGAGACTGATTCTGCCCCTTGAGCTTGTGAGGAAGTCTAAGAATTCTGGGTAGTTCAACAAGGAGAAGCTACTGGGGACCTCTGTCCCCAGCTTGAGGAGGTGCTCACGGAACCATAGTCCAACGTCCTGGCTGCCGTCAGGGTAGGTCTCAATGCCTGGCCCGAACCGTTGGTCATCTTTATACAATCCCTACAAGGGAAACCACAAGGCCAGGAGAGCTTTCTGCTTAGTTACAGTTTCATAAAATCAGCAAAGAAAATGTACTCCTAAGAGATGTGCTGCACACACACGTGTGCGCACACACCACACACACACACACACACACACACACACACACACACACACACACAGACGCATGAGGTGTGCTGGGCACTAGGACAGAGCAAGGCCATCATGCTCAGACATGGAGGTAGGTGCATGGAGAAGGTGCTGTGGCCAAGTTGGAAGACAAAGAGCCAGACTAGGAGTGGCCTCTCAGATGAGGACACGACAGAGGGCTGTGATGGGGACACACTCGTATCAAGCTGAAGCTGTGATGGGGACACACTCGTATGTTCGTTCCCAAGAGACTCCCTGTAGGCCGGAAGTTAATTGCTAGCCGGGCAATTTACCTACAAGTTTCTATACTTCCGAGGGTGGAGAAACCGCAGCCTGTGATGCTGCGCTCAGTCAGTGAACATCACAGGCTGATCCTTTCTTTCCTTCTTTCTTTCTTTCTTGCAGATAAGGCCCTTCAGAGAAGCCTATTAGGAACCAGCCCCACCCCATCTGTCACTCAGGTTCACTCCAGAGTGGAGAAAAGGAGGAGGAAGGAAGAGAACAGAAAAAGGAAGAGGAGAGGAAACGCTCTTTGCTTTCTATGACCCCAAGGGAGAGTGTGATTTCTAGGCCATTTCTAAAGGCTTCCATCACCACCCGCCTCCCGTACGCAGAGAAGAAAGGATCTCAGACAAAAAACAGGGAGCAGTGGTCTGGGGCAGGGGTCAAAGTAAAGCCCTAGCTTTGAAGACTTGCCTCTTCTAAAGTAAGTTAAAAAGACACCGGAGGTCACTGGGAGGTCAAAGGTCAACCAAAGCCAATGACCTAAAATATGGAGATGATGGCACCTGTGCCTTTATCCACCACCAGACAGTCTCATCTTGGCTTCCTGGCTTCAGTCTGAGGTGGGCATAGGTGATGTGAAGGCCTGTAGCCTGACAGAGTGGATTGTGAGAAAGAGGGGTGCAGTGTCTGTGGGTGGCTTCACTCTACAGGGAGGTGCATGGGGCAGCAGACACACTTCCAGAAGAGCCTGTGAGGGACTAAGGCAATGGGGTGGAAGGTTTATAGAAGTAAGAGGAGGGGTGGGGCATGGTGAGGAGCCAGGTGGTCTGCAGGCCTGATGGGCCCAACAGGGAGCTAACAGCCTTATCTGGAAAGCTCAGCTTAGGCTGCAGCTATAACAGCAAGAGGGCCAGGAAGAGACACTAGGGAGCCAAGCAAGACCAGGGCCAGAGGGAAAGAGGCACTCCAGGGGGGAAGGAGCTGTCACATGGGTGCATGGAGTCCACAGTTCTCTTGGTCAAGACCCAGCAGCTCAGCAGTTGACAGGAAACAACTCAAAAACATAACCCAAACATCAGCTGCACAAGTTGGCTCCTCACAACAAACCAGACCTATATTCAAAGAGACTGCAAATCTAAGGCCAAGCTGGATTGCAGAATGAGTTCAAGGTCAGCTTGAGTGACTCGGAAAGACCCTCTCTCCATCCCCCACGGAGGGCATCAACCTCCCTGGAGAGCAGAGGGGGATAGAGTGGAGGCTTGCCTACCATCGAGGTGCTCCAAACCTACACCACAAGGAGATGTCCCAATGTGCCCACATGGATACTAACGTCCAAAATATGGACTGTCGAGTGAGACAAGAATGTGGAATCATTGAAGTGTTTATTGATGGCTGAAACACCATGACCACTTTGCAAAGCAGTTTGGAAGGTTCTTAGGAAAATGATTGCACACTTATATTTGTAACTAGCATTCTCACTCTTAGGTATTTGTCCAAGTGTGAATAAAACTGTGTGTGTGTGTGTGTGTGTGTGTGTGTGTGTGTGTGTGTGTGTGTGTGATGGTGGTGGCACACACCTTTAATCCCAGCACTTGGAAGGCAGAGGCAAGCAGATCTTTGAGTTCAAGGTCAGTCTGGTCTACAAAGTGAGTTACAGGACAGCCAGGGCTATACAGAGAAACCCTGTCTTGAAAACACAAAACAAACAGACAAACAAAAAACCAGGCATCTCCTGAAATGCTGTCCAAACACAAGCTGGAAAATATGTGCTTTTAATATATCTGAAAGTAGTACATAACTCAAAATAGGAAAATGGAGGGGAAAGTCTAAACTCATTCTTGCAGTTTTCAAACCACACACGGATTATGTAATGCTTGGGGGAGTCCTAATGGGATAGAGTGTAAAACATCTAAAACAATGGTCTGGAAATAAGATGATGTTTTTGGTTTTAAAAATATCCTGCCATGGGGCTGGAGAGATGGCTCAGAGGTTAAGAGCACTGACTGCTCTTCCAAAGGTCCTGAGTTCAATTCCCAGCAACCACATGGTGGCTCACAACCATCCATTATGAGATCTAGTACCCTCTTATGATGTGCAGATATACATGGAAGCAGAATGTTGTATACATAATAAATAAATAAAAAGAAAAAAATATCCTTCCAATCCAAATGAAGGCCAGAAGTGAGGGGACAATGCTGGACGGTGGGGTCAGCGTAGCACACACAAGGCAAGACTTGATCCCAAATGTGTTTCTACTAACACCAAACCTGCCTGGTCAAAAGCAGGTGAGAAATCATTAGCCAAACATGTGATTTTAAATTTTCCAGTAGCAGCACCACAAAAAGTAAAAATCTGGGTAAGATTCTATTTTTGTTTTTTTGTTTGTTTGTTTGTTTGTTTGTTTGATTTTTTGAAGAAAGGGACTCAAGTATCCCAGGATGGTCTTGAGTGAAGGAGCCTGGGATGAACTTAAACTTCTGCTCCTCCTGACTCCAGCTCCTAGGTCACAGGCAACTATGCCATCTATGCCATCTGGTTTATGTGGTACTGTCAATCATACCTGAAGCTTTGTGAGTGCTGCAAGAGCACTCTACCAAATGGGCTGCATCTCCCGTCCTGAGGGGGAACTCATTTTAATACAGCATTTATGTTTTGCTCAATCTTTCCAAAGTATCACTTATAAATAAATATACCTGATATTCAAAGCTTTTCAGATATTTTGCTTTTTTTTAAATAAATCTTTGTGCTCTGGTGTGGGGGAGCTGAGGGTCTAGCTCAGTAGAGCATGTTCCCTCGAGTGTGTAAGGCCCTGGGCTCCACCCCAATGCTACCATAATAAAGAACCTGGTGTGTGCTCTCCATTTACAGAACTCCTTGTTTTGGAGAGGGGAATCTCAACCATTCAGCAGACACCAGCATGATGGTTTTCGACCTCTGCATGGGACAAGGCAGATCTAACTGTCCAGTGACCATTACTGAACTAAATTCAAATAAGCACACACACATTTTCAAAAAAAGAGAAGAAATATCTAAAATTATTTAAAATTATGGTGACGAATATACCACAGTGGAAATAATGTCCCTAAATTTCTATAACCTTATTAAATTTAGACCTTGGGTCATGAAATATTGAAGAGGGTTTTTGTTTGTTTGGGTTTTGGTTTTCTGTCTTTTATGGTTGTTTGTTTTTGATACAGGGTCTCTCTCTATATATAGGCCTAGCTGTCTTTGCGTTTGCTATATAAACCAATGTAGCTTCCAATTCACAGATATCCACCTGTCTCTGCCTCCCATGTGCTAGGATTAAACCTGCCCTGAAGGGATTATTTTTAAAGAGGGTCTATCAGTTCATTATAGTAAAAGAGCATAAGGCAAATACAATAAATCCAAGATTTTACTCATTAAATAAGTAATGAGTATACAGAGTATACAAATTTAAATTTTTTCAGTTGTGGTGAGATATTCTAACTTACCATGTTCGAACACCAGCAGAGTCAGCAGACAAAAAAAAAAAAAAACCAACACTTTATTTTCAACTTAAAATAACACAAACATCAAAAATGTGTGACTCAGGAAACACTGTCAACAACTGCTGACATGTGTTTAAAAGCTGGCCTTGGGCCATGAGAGGTTCAGCAGGTAGAGAAACTTGCTATGAAAACCTAGTAACCAGGATTCCATTCCCTGAGCCCATGACAAATGTGGAACCAACTCTACAATGTTGTCCTTTGACCTTCATGTGAACAAACAGATTTTAAAAACAAACACTACAAAGTCAGCCTTGCTGGGTAGACATGGTGATAAAGGCCTGTAATCCCAGCTTTTTAGGAAGCTGGGCAGTATGACCACAAAGTCAAGATCTGCCTGTGTTACAGAGTGAGTTAAAGGCCAGTCTCAGAATAAGTAAAAAGAGGGCTGGGACTGTTGCTCAGTATTAGAGCATTTGCCTTGCACAAACAAGGCCCTACGTTTGATCTTTAGCAACACAAAAGTAAGAACAAGAGAGAGAGAGAGAGAGAGAGAGAGAGAGAGAGAGAGAAATAAAGGAAGGAAGGAAGGAAGGAAGGAAGGCAGAAAGAAAGAAAGAAAGAAAGAAAGAAAGAAAGAAAGAAAGAAAGAAAGAAAGAAAGAAAGAAAGAGAAAGAAAAAACCTGATCATAGTCTAGGTCATAACACAAGTCACAGCCAACTTAAAGCACCAAAATCATGCAAATTAAGCAAGCACACAGGAAATCAGTAGCAAAAAGCCAGCAAAAGCCAGTCTGAACATGAAAAGCAATAGATATGACAAGGAACCATGGGTCAAAAAAGCAATCAGAGCAGAAATTAAAATGCACTTTGAACTGAATGGAAATGACAATATGAGGAAATCAAAACTGTGGAACACAGAGCCAGAGAGTATATCTGACAAAAAGAGGGCAGGCAGTAAGTGAGAAAAGCTTTGGAAGTCACTAGAGGCAGGGGTGCACTGGGAGGGTGGACAGGAAGACACTGATGCTAACAAAGAACCAAATGGACAGATAAGCTGGACCAAAAGCCGATTCTCTGAGGGAAACAAATAACAAAACTGATAAACACCTGGTAAGGGGTGAGGGACTGTATGATAGGCTGTCTGGCTCTTTGTTAGGAAGGAACTACTCCCACCCACAATGAAACGCATTGCTATTAGCAAGGATCACTAGCAACACCAAGTGTTCACAGGGATGCCAACTGGCATCCCGCAGCCATGGGTGGGAGACAAAACATCACAGACAGGGAGCATTAAGACACACACACACCCCAGGCTACACTTAGAAGTTTCCCTAGGGAAATGAAAATCTACATTTAATATTTACATGCACACACAAAACCAAACTAAACATGCGTGCCCAGCAGCTTTATTCACAATTGCCCCAAACAGGAAGCAGTCTAAAGGACTTCCGGTCAAGCTGTGGTGGCTTCATACCATGGAGACTTCAGTAACCAAAGGAAAACAGAACAGTGGGCCATGGGGCTGGATCTGCCCTGTGGGCCAAGAGGAAGACACTGGACCCAGGGCTCCACATTGTGGTCCTCTCTTGCAAAGGCACAATTACAGGCAGAAGCTTAGCCATGGCTGGGACTGGAAGGGACACTGACTACAAAGGCATGGGGCAGTGACGCAGGGTGAGAGAGCCATTTTGTACCCAAGCACACAAACCTATACTTGTTGAAACTTTCAAAACTTTCTAGTAATAGAGTGCATATAATTGTGAATTATATATAATACATTAAGGGGTAGAAAGTCATGTGTATTTTTTTCCTTGGGTGGGGAGGAACGTTTTAAAATGATATATGTGTGAGAAAGACCCATTTTATATATTAAAACTAAACATTTATGTTTGTTTTTTTTGGTTTTGTTTGTTTGTTTGTTTGGTTGGTTGGTTTTTGAGACAGGGTTTCTCTGTGGCTTTGGAGCCTGTCCTGAAACTAGCTCTTGTAGACCAGGCTGGTCTCAAACTCACAGAGATCCACCTGCCTCTGCCTCCCGAGTGCTGGGATTAAAGGTGTGTGCCACCAACATCCGGCTCATTTATGATATTTTTAATTCAAAAGATACATAACTTGATAACATCCTTCTGGGAATAGATAGGTGCATTTTTAAATTTTTTTTATATCCTTCCTATTGGTAGTATTATAGTCACTAAAATAAGAAAGCTACTTCTACTTAAACTTTTCCAGAACCTAAATATCTTTTTCTCCAGTGGCCTAGATAACAGCTGCACCCACTCCTCTCCCAAACACAGGAAGGCCCCACCTGACATAAACACACAGAAGCCCACCCTCACATGTGTGTTCACACGGCAGCCTTGCCCTTGGTGAACACACAACAGCCTCCCCTCAGGAACATGTAGAGGCTCCTCACAAACACACAGTAACCCTGTCCCTCACATGAACACACAACAGCCCAACCCTCGTGAACACATTGTGTCCTATCTATCACATGAACACAGGATCTCCTCACCTGGAATAACTTTGTTTTCATGAACATGGTGCCATAGCCTTCTCGTTGGCTGAGGTAAAACAAGCCCGTGAAACTGGAGCCATTCGGCCATGTGTAGGTGCCCACACCGTGGCAATGGTCCCGGTAAAACTGCCCACGGTAGGTCTGTGGAGTGAAGAGGTCAGTGAGCCTCCTATCTGGGAGAAGCCACTTCCCTCTGGAACCTCAACCCTGGCAGGTAACTGCTAAGCCAGGCCACCACACCTGGCCGGGCTGTGATGGGCTTCTTGTGTAACCCAGACACAAGGCTTCTTTCAGTCCAGGTGAACAATGTGATAACTGGGATTGGTCACTCAAAATACCCAGAGAGGTCTCCAGGCAACTAGCTCTATTAGTCCACCCTCCATGCCCTCTGCTCTGGTACGGACTTGGGTGGGGGGTGTCAGAATTGCCTGGAGCTTCTGCCAGGCCAGCACTCCTCCTAGGTTTGGCAGAGTGCTCTCCTTCAGGTAACAGAGGCCAGGCTGGCTGGAGGATACTTGCTGGTAGGGGACCCTGAGCCTGGTTGAGAACAAGGTAGGGTTAATAAATGGATACTCAGTGCTGGGTCCATTGTCAGCCTCTGTGCCCTTGTCCTGAGCCCTTCAGGTGACAATGTCAGGTGGGTGTTTCAAAGGGGACCAGAGAGGAAAGGAAGGTGTCACCCATCCCCCAGGCACTGTACTTGACCCATATGCTGTGAGGTGGCATCTCCCTCCTAAGGAAAGGCTGGGCCAGCAGCTCTTAGTTATGATTTCTCAAGAAGCCATGAACAATGAGCAAATGAGAAACAAGGTGAAGATTTGAGATACAAGCACACAGGTATAACCATCATCACGAGCCCCACATTGCCTCCTGACATCCCTGAGTTCCAGGACTGGGTTGGAGGCTTTGCCCACATCTGCTCCCATTTGGGGTCTTGGAGGACTCCTGCCCTTCTTCCCATCCCAATACCTCTTTTCTCCTAAGACCTCATCCTAAACAGCTGCTCTTTCCCCCACCATTGCTCTCCTCTGGACAAGTGTACCTTTAGTGATTTATACCCCTGTGTAATCCCCCTGCTCTGAAATGCTCCTACCAGAAAGAGTAGATAGCCGAAGTATGCCTACCTCTGTCCTGCCCCAAGCTACAGCTGCCTGGATCAACACAGCCTCCAGACTGGAGCTGGGCTCAGGGGACTTTAGCAACTAGGCTGAGAAATTCCTGTTCCTTCCACTGTTTCTTGAACAAACAGGAGGCACTAGATACTGGAGGGAGGACTAGACCAGGCAACCCCCAGCCTGGGGCACCAAGTCAGAGAAACCCTTGCCAGAGGGAGAGCCGCACTTGGAACAAAGGAGCAGAAGAGGAGCCCATGACCCCTGACATGCCAGGAGCAGCATCGAACGGGAAAGGTTCCCACACCAGGGCTCCTAGACTGCCTGTGGTAGTTTGAATGTAACTGGCCCCCATAACTTCATAGGGGGTGGCACTATTAGGAGGTGTGGCTTGTTGGAGGAAGTGTGTCACCGTGGGGGCAGGCTTTAAGATCTCTTTTGTTCAAGCTTTGTTCAGTGTGATCCTCAGACCATTTCCTATCCTGCCTACAAGAAGTAGGACTCCCAGCAACGCACCTGCCTGAATGCCATCATGCTCCCGCCATGATGATAATGGGGTGAACCTGTGGAACTGTAATCCAGCCCCCTAATTAAACGTTTTCTTTATAGGAGTTGCCATGGTCAAGGGGTCTTTTCACAGCAATAGAAACCCTAACTAAGACACTGCCCTAGCCTCATTCTCCAAGTCCTTTATCTGGACATGGATGGTAGGAAAATTGAACAACCACAAGTCTTCATAACACTGATGACCCAGCCAGGCTTCCAGACACAGTGCACCCCCAGCTTTGCTGCACACTGAGCTATTGTATTCAACCAGTGATACCAAAAGCACAAATAAATTTGGTCATGGGCTCCAGTTGTGGATCCCCACCTCCAAGAAGTCTTCACTTAGGTCCTGGGCATAGCCTAGCATGGGGGCCTACGTGCATCTTGTAGTTAAGAACATCCTTTTGAGGGCATGGAGGTGTTCAGGCTTGGACACCTCTTTCAGATGACTTTAGGGTTTAGTTAAAATAGATAGTTAGGATGTGACATAAACAGATTGTTGTATCTTTTTCTTATATTTTGCCTTTATGATTGTTAATTTTGGATACTTTAAACTGTTAAGTTTTAATTCTTTTTTAGACTAAAAGGGGAATTGTAGGGGAAGCTGTAGCCACGCCTACTTAGGGGCTGGTTACAGGTGTGCCCGGGCCCCCCGCCCCCCCCCCCACACCGGGCGGGGCGGGGGGGCGGGGGGGGGGGGGGGGGGGACGTAGGGTGACTGCATTTGCTCTTTTGCTTTCACTTTGGTACTTGCCGTACAGACTGCTGCCACACTGGCTGGCTAGGTCGCTCTGTAAGTAAGGCTTTTCCCTATTAAATACCCTTATATTTCTACCTGACTCCATATGTTACCTAACTACTGTTGTTTTGCCAAACTGGTATGTTGTCAAGCTGCCTTCTCAGTGTTTATATTTACATCCATTGATTAGTGCTGCCCTCAACCTGGGTCAGAGAACCTTCTTTCTGTAGCTGTCATCAGTCAGTGCGGAGATTCCTAACTGGTCAAGGTGCTGAGAATAAGTGATTGAGAAGAATGCAGCCCTAGATGGGACGTCTGTATCTATCTCCCACCTCCAGGGCTCAGGGGATGTTGTAGAAGAAGTGGGGAGAGAATTTCTGGACATGGCATGGCTGTTACACTCAGGAGCTCACAGCATTTGTGGCTACCTGCACAAGACCTGCTTAGGATTCTACAGCGGATGGGGGGGGGGCTCACAAGGTCCCACCCCTAGCTGGAGAGCTATTTGTTGGCAGTCAATGGCTGCTGGGGTTGATAAAGTCCATTTCCTCCCGGGGTGTGGCTGCTGGTAGGTTGCACATGCTCCGGTGGAGGGTCTCACACCAATGCAAATGGGAGGCGCATCAACTGGACTCGGTAAACTATTTTTTAAGGGAGAGGACATTAAGATGGGAAGGGGAGGTGCTAGGTAGGTTGGAGAGAGTGGAGAGTGGGGTAAATATGCTCAAGGTAAATTCTGTATATGTATGAAACTGTCAAAGAATAAAAATATTTTAAATACCTGGGCGTTGGTGGCGCAGGCCTTTAATCCCAGCACTCGGGAGGCAGAGGTAGGAGGATCTCTGTGAGTTCGAGGCCAGCCTGATCTCCAGAGCGAGTGCCAGGATAGGCTCCAAAGCTAAACGGAGAAACCCTGTCTCAAAAAACAAAAACAAATATTTTAAATAATAAAACATTCACGCAGGATAAGAAATGATCTTCTTCGGTCACAGCTTTCCCAACCCCACCCATGATCCCCAGGAAACCATGACATGACATCACCTTTGCAGACATGCGCAGAGAGGTCCTCTGGGATTCTTCTATGGAAAGCCTGAACCCTATCCCGCAACACCTGCTCACAGGAGAAAGGCCCCTACTGAAGCCGCCTACCTCGCCTGTGGGCCAAGAGAACTCGCCAAATCCAAGCTTCATGTCGAGTCCGAAGTCCCCTTTGTACACAGAGCCATCCTGCCACTCCTGCACCCCTTGTGTGATCCGGATGTAGGTCTCCTTCAGGTCCTGCTTTCTCTGGGAGCCTTCAGACTCCTCCTCATCCTCTCTAGGATCCGATGAAGAGTTCCTAGAAAGACAGGGAGCTAAAGGAAGAGCGACTAGGATGTCGTGAGAGTGACTACGTGCAGAGCACTGCCCCGCCACCTCATGTTGCTCTCTAGATAACCCCAAGGCTCCGGATTTCCCCCAAAGGGGCACTGGGGCATAGGAGACGCCGTGGTTGTAGGGTTGCACAGGAAATGAACTGTGCAGGAAGGGTACAAACTGACAAGAGTAAATGTGCCCAGGTCATAGGACCAGTCAGTCCCTCTAGCTATGTCCAGACAGATTGCCCATGGCACAGTCGTCCCTCCTGAGCTGGCAGTACCAGCCCCAGGTTGGGCAAGAAACAGACACTCAAACACACAAGTAGACCTAGGAAAAGTCTGAGAGTAGCGGAGAGGCAGCAAACTGACAGACAAATGGACAGACACCAGATGCATGAACCGCAGCAGAGAGGGGCATCCAAGGTAGGTTTGCCTCCCTCTCGCCCTTGTGCTCTCAAGGGATGAGTCGTTACTTAGACAAGGGTCTCAGCCTAAGCCCATAACACCCCCCTTCTCAGGCTCCTCTCAGCTCTCTTGGGATGCTGGGTGCCAATGCCTCTGCTCTGGAGACCAATCCCAATGTTTGGCTGGTGGTTAGATTGGACAGCACACAACATGGGACCCCTCAGATCCTGTGATGATTAACCTCAGCTGTCAACTTGACTTCATCTGGAATCAACTAAAACCCAAGCAGTTGGGCACACCTGTGAAGGATTTTTTTGGGTTGGATCATTTGAGGAGAGAAGATTCATACTAAATCTGGGCCACACTGTCTGGAAGCTGCTAGGACATGGCAGGAAGGAGCTTTTGTTTCTGCTTTTTTTGCCCTCACTCTTGCTGGCAAGTTCATCTATCCTGCTTGCTGAGACATTCCTGTTACCAGATGTTATAACAAATACCAAACATCAGCAGAAACATCCAACCCTGTGGCCTGAACAACTACCAGATTCTTGGCCATTCTTTGAGGAGACCAAATTGTTGGAATACTCAGATCACAGCCTGTAAGCCACTTTAATAATCATATATGTATTGTATATGTATTGTAGTATTATACATTGCTGTGGAATAATCCCTTTGTACACCGTGAAAATTTGTCACTCAGATCAGTTTAATAAAAAGCTGATTGGCCAGGAGCCAGGCAGGAATTATAGGTGGCACAACCAAACTAGAATGATGGAAAGAAAAAGGGTAGAGTCAGAAGAGATGCCAGCCAGCCGCTGAGGAAGGAGGAGGTGTAGAAAATGAGCCATGAGCCATGTGACAAAGCATAGATAAGAAATATAGGTTGATTTATATGTAAGAGTTAGGTAGTAATAAGCCTGAGCTATCGGTCGAGCATTTATAATTTATATGTAGTCTCCAAGTCAGTTTCTAGGGAAGCAGCTGCCGGTTGTTTGAGAACAGGCAGTTGGGACAGGAAACTACAAATGGCACCCACCATCTGGCGTAGATACACTTAAGACCTGAAAAAACTTTTTAAAAGATCCTAAACACACAAAACCGGAGTCAGACTCAGCTTCCTAGTCTCATAGCCTTGTGCCAGCTGCAATGCAGAGACATGTCTCCCCACAGTTACCTGTGACATGGAGTTGGCGGCCAACAACCATGAGCTAAGTGTTGTGGCAGGGTCCCACAGTCAGTCCCATGGGCCACACACAGTACAGAGAGAGGCTTCTCTCCCCAGCCACTGCCTGCAGGCTTGAGAGCTCCCCCAGCACTAGATGGCAGATTTAGGAGTTTTGCTCATGCAGACAGAAAAGAATTCAGATACACAGAAAAGACAGATTCAGGTGCGGGGGTAGGGGGGGAGGCCTCTAAATGGGTTACAGTGTGTTTAAAATATACTTGGAAGATAAAAGAAAAAGGGTAGAGAAAGTTCTTCAAAAGGAATAAAGTAATATAAAAGAAAAAAGCTATGTAAAGATGGGAAATACAAAGAGAGTCTGGATCATATATATATACATATATATATGTATATGCATACATAATTTATTCTGTAAGTTCTGTTTCTTTGGAGAACTCTGACTAACACAGCCCTCACCCAGTCCACCAGCCAGCCCTTGAGTGCCTATTAAGGGCGACTGAGCCTAAGCTCAGCATCTACCCAATAAAGAATCCCACTTCAAGAAGACAAAACCCACATTTGGTGTATTATATAGACAGAAAGAAGTCAAGAAGGATAGACACCCAGACTATCATGAGGAAGAAGGCACTGCTGTGGTGTTGTGAATTCTTCGCTGTCCTTTTTCTCTCTCCAACAGGTCTTCTGGTGGCCCATACTAGCCTCAGACTTACTATACAGCCAAGGATGAGCTAGCACTTCTAATCCTCCTGCCTGTGCCTCCCAGGTGTAGAACTGCAGGCATCACTACCATGACAGGTTTGTGCAGTGCTGGGATTCGAATCCAGGGTTTTGTGCATTCTAGACAAACAACTGAGCCACGTCCCAACTCTGAGATGTAAATTCTTAGGTTAGACTCCTAAACACCAGTGCAGGTGGGGGTTTTAATCACAGACAAGGCTCTGCTGAGGCTCCTGGCTCTAGCAGCCCCTACTATGATCAACCGAGTAGTGGGAGAGCTATGATGGTAACAAGATGGACAAGGGCCACTCCTGCAACTGCTAGAAGTGAATAGGATAATGCTGACAAGCCAAGAGCAGGCATGGAACTCCTGCTACTACTTGCCACCCTTTTTCCTCTTGGATTGGTATAACTGAGACTAGGCTAGGAAGGGTAAAGGAACCTTTAACGATGGAGGAGGAAGGGGAGGTCGAGGGGGAGGAGGAGGGGGAAGTGGAGGAGGAGGAGGAGGAGGAGGAGGAGGAGGAGGAGGGCAAGGAGGAGAAGTGTAGTAGTAGTAGTATGGGAGCCAGAGCCTCATTATGCAGCCCTACTTGGCCCGGATTGCCTTATGTAAGCCAGGCTGGTCCTGAACAGACACATCTGCATGCCACTGTCTCCCCAGTGCTGGGATTAAGGTAGGGTGCCACCACACCAGGCTCCCTTTAGCGATTTGTAAGGCCTGCCCCAATATTGCATTCTAGCTGACTCATTGCCCTTTGGTGCTGATTGCATCTTCCTGCCAGCGGGTCCCCTGCACCTTCTGGTGAAGAAGGTGTAGCTCTTCTCAGACTCCTGGCTCTCGGTTTCAGGAGACTGGCTACTTCGCCCCTCCAGACTTCTGGAGCCACTGGAGTCCAGAGTGACAAGGGAATGAAAGTCTTCCATGTCTCTTCTCTTCAAACCTAGAAGCAAATCTGTGTTCACAATTCGCCCTCAGGACTGAGGACAGTGGCAGCTGGGGGACCTGCACGCAGTCCCACCCGACTTGGGTGACCCTCTTCGGAGTCTCCAAGTAGACCCCCTCTAGCTCCTGAGGGCTCGCTGGCCTTCCTAGGGTGTTCCCTGGACCTTTCCTGAGCGGTCATCACCGCAAGGGCCGTCAAAAACCACATGGGATCTAGCCTCGCCCGCACACCCCTGGTCGCCCTCAGCAGACACACACCTTTGGCCTACACTGTCTCAGAGCGCACCAAGCGTGTAGAGCCACTACAGGAGCGCGTCACGTTGCCCTGGAGACGGTCACGCTCTCGGTGTGCTACCCAGCCAATCAGAGCCAGGTTGCGCTGACCCTCCCCCCGATCCGCCCCTGAACAAACCTCAGCCAATGCACGAGCGGAGCTGCGATTGCCACGCGGGCTCAACCACCGCCAATGCTCGAGCCCTTCTGGGTACGCAGGCTCCTCGTGTTAGCCCCACACTTCCAGTTAGCCTTCGGGCCAGAAGCTGCCAGCATTCGTAAGGAGAATGCTTGCCGAAAGACCCTGGGGCCAAGGCATGATTAAGACCATCTGACTGCCAAGCCCAATTTTATTCATTGTTCGCTCGCAAAGCCCTAGAATGCAACATTGTCCTAGCTGAGAGGCAGACGTCTAGAAAAGGGGCTTCTAGAACAGGGCTGCAGAGAGAATGCACTGGAGTGCATGTCCAGAGACACATTGAGGGGCTGGGTACCAATGTGCCCTGGACCGTGAGTGATGGGATGAGCTGCAGGTGGAAAGGCTGAGTCAAAACTCATGCCATGCTGAAATTTTATGTTCATGAGTGTATATACATGGACACTCAGCATACAAAGATCAAAAAGGAATATTTCCACAGTTTGTCATAAAGGTTCACCAGGCAGAGTGGCACAAGCCCCTCATCCCAGCACTATCCTGGCCACTGGATAAGACAGAAAAGACTTCCAGACCCCTTCTCATTCCCATTAGCCCAATGCCACTCCTGAGGCAGGAAAATCGCCTGGATCACAGAGTGAGACCTTGCTCACCCTTCCCAAGTTATTCAAAAGGAATGTTTTCATAATGTGTTAACATTCATTAAGAAAACCTAGTAACATTAGCTTTTTAAATTTTGGTGAGTTGGTAAACTTAGCAGATTCCATAGATTTGATAGTTGGAAACTGATCTCAGGCCAACTTGCTTTCAGCAAATTAGCGGCTTGCATTGCCAAAATGGGTTATCTGCAAACATGAAGGTGCCTACTGAGCCACTGCTGTTGCTATGGAATTCAGTGAATCACTGTCTGGGAATGAGGCTTTTTCTACTAAAACTGCTAAAGACTGAAAAATTAGCAAAGAAAATCACTTGAAATCACATATTAGACACAAGTTTGATATTTGGAAGCAATGGTGGGAAAAGTGAAAATGCAAAAGAACTCTCCTCTATTGCCAGTAAGGTGATTTTAAGTTCTCACAAAACTGGGAGGCAGACAGTACTGGCTGCCACTAATTATGTTTACCCATCGCCTGGCCCTAGCTCAAAACTGTCATTAGAGAAAAGCACATGGATATATGTGACATGTACTAAGTGAAAAACTCAATTCTTTAAGGAGTAGTGTGTGTGTGTGTGTGTGTGTGTGTGTGTGTGTGTGTGTGTTCACTCTTGTTTTAGCTGTGACTTGAAATAACTTAAGATTAACTAA